TATATATATATAGAACCCGCCTTCACGAATGTGACTGAGCCGTGGATTCCCGAAACTTACCACGTTTCCCATGGGACTGTGAGCATTTCTTTGGTATGCTGAGGAACCGCCAAGACGTCATGACAACAGGAAGCTGCACTTGACAGCGTCGGAAGACAAGCCAGGTCTGGGTCACGAGTCGAGCGCATGATTCACTTTGTTAATATAGGTGTTATCGCACTCATTCATGGAAAATATCGTCAATCTCTACACTAAGTGGAAGAAGTAAAGCTAGGAAAGTGGATTGCAGTAGTCAATGTATTGTTGTGAACAAAACAAATTTAGAGAGGACTGAAAACGAAGAAAACAAGGCACACGCATGCGGAGACTGTCGTGATGAAAATACGCTTATCTCTGTAGTGATCTGTTGGTTACATACTACATTCCTTAATCTACAGTCATCTTCTCTTAGGGCGCGTTGATTCCGCTTCAAGGGTATCCAAAATTACTGCTCTGCACGAAGCCGATACTTTTTCTGTGCTTGATCATTGTTCCAAATTACTTGGAAGAATCAACTTGGTTCGTGAGTTCTCCGCTGGCACTAAGCGGGTGAACGTCCATACCTGCGCTGAAAATTTTTGTCTTTTTACACTTTAGTTGCAGCGTAGCGACTGAGGCTATCAAAGGCAGGATGAATTTCTGTTGGATATTTGCTTCTGAAGACAATATCATCAACCTAGTCAATCCAGCAGATTAATAGTTACCTCCACTGACCACACCGTCCAATCAATCGCGAAAGTGAGAAGCATAGGGAAAGCCGGACGACCCTCTCTCGATTCCACTCAGGCGAACCAACTGCTTGACGTTTTTATGTTTACTTTCATGGATTCCGAACTCACTTTTTCTTCCAGCTGTTAGCACCGCTACAGAACGTCACTACGAGCTATCTTGGCCTGTCTGAGTGGGGTCCGAATCAAACCAACGGTGAAGTGTATCATACATTCAATATATTGCCGCACAATCCTGACTAATGTCCGTAATAGCTTGGTTGTTCTGTTCCTTGGTACCCGCTGTGAATTCTGATACTACCTGATATTGCAATTCGTAGAGCAGGTACTGAGGATATCCGAGAAAATGGCTAAACTAACTGAAAAACGCGTGACCGCACATTAAGTCAATCCATCAGGATTCTGCCTAGGTGCATCTTATTACGGGAGGAATACAACCCTCAGAACGTTGAACACCGGCTGGTTTGAGCGCATAATCGTTACCATTGATTCACATCAGACTAAGGATTCCAAATCAGGAGTAAATATTTAGAGAACGTTGATTGCCCAGGTTGTGAAGTTGAGGATTGACTCGTTAGCTGAGCTTGAAACCTTTCGACACCAATCGAGGTGACGAAAGGGTCGCTGGAGGTGAATGATGGAGCTGTACGTACGCTGCTTCTCGGCACAGATCAAGTTAGAGGAACAAGTTCACAAATTTGGACAGTATTGGGATCTCCCCACCATCTACAAACCCTGAGATAACTTTTCAATCAAACCAGTCGTTACGAAACGCTTGGTCAAACAGTGGACTTCAGTGTGTGGAATTAAACCAGAAAAGGTTGCATTTAATACTTTTGCAAAGAGCCTACCAAGATTCTGGTTGACACTTCCAAGTCACACTCTCACTGGATGAAATCAGTTCACCCACACAGACAGCAGATATTCTCTCAGTCTCAATCCGCAAGTTCAGCATCCTCTTTACATACCATTTTCGCGAACCCAGAAAACTAAAGCTAAGCTTTCCAACACTCTTAAAGTCTGCCAGGGAGACACTAACGACCTCCGACTCAAGGTCTGCACACAGACGTTTGCTGACGCAATGCTGCATTGACAACGAATGAAGCGAATGAGTCTGGACTGGTTGTAGCAGCAGTGATAGGAAGACGGCTAGAACGTACAATCATCGACAACTTGACTTGACTAGACCCTTCCCCCAAAGGTGAGAGCCCTTTTTTGATTGGACACAACATAGGATTTCTTACAAAGTGCCACTAAACACCAGAGTCTGAACTGCCCTTGAGCGGCCAGTTATTCCGAGTGGTTTTATTCGACGATCACTATCTGCGAAACCGCTAAGGCAGATTGATTTCCCCGGAAACTGTACTTAAGGGGATAATGCCAATCAAAAATCCTGTACTTCCGAACTGTTCGTCCTAACAGATGTGCCAGTTTACGAGGCAGAAAGGCGTACGGAAGTACGCGAGCGAGTTTTTGTAATCCTATTTTTAAAGTGATTTATGTGGAATATAGTGGGAAGCCTCCAGGAAAACCCTGAAAAGTTTTAACAAGGTTGGTTCATCTCCTAAACTAGCTAAAAAAACGCGTAAAGCAAGCCAAAATCTGGTGGCCTTTGTACCTAAAGTAAATCAAGGGTTAAGACATGCTCTGGCTGAAAGAGTCCCAAGTTGCTAACATGTGACGTGCATCGTTGTTCAGTGACCACGTGCTACATACTCCCATAACTCACTGGATCGATTACTGCATCAGCATGTTTGACAGTTTCCAGTCCATCTTAATTTAAATTGAATTGCCATTCGGTTTTCCGAAAACAATTTCGCATTATTGTCTTCCGAGACGGCGACTGCGCTATGTCCACTCCTAAAATGATCCACTGAACGGTGATGCCCATGAATCAGTGGGCCGACGCAGTTCAGTTCTACTGCAATTAGTTGTGTTTGGAACGACAATACACGGCAACAAGGGTCCATTGATGAAAAGTGCAAAAGTATCATCCACCCCGTACGTTAGATTGGCCCGTTCTCTACCTACAGCTCAATTTCACTTCGGCTGTTACCTGAATCGCCAGTAACATAACTGAACGAGAGCATCATCTAGCAACACCCTGCTGTGACTGACAACCCTTTCAGGAAATTCATTTTCCGTAACATGAGCCGGAAGTGTTTCACCAAGTTGTGGTTGTCGGTAGATCAGAAAAGTCGCATTAGCCGACAAGAATCTGGTTGCACGTCAAATTAGGGGGGAACTGAAGTTTTAGAGAGGCGCCATCAGACAACCAGGGTACTGTATTCTGAACAAGTTTTTCAAATTAGGGCTGAAGTTTTAGAGAGGCGCCATCAGACAGCCAGGGTACTGTATTCTGAACAAGTTTTTTTCGGATACACTTTCAACACGTCACGGAATTCATAGTGCCCTAATCTTTTCATTACAGGCTCTTCTCGGTGGACCCATTAGAAGCCATGAGAAATTGCCAAAGCCTACTAGAGAATATTGAACCCGGTGACATTGTTCGACCTGGAGACGTTTACGCCGCAATGATACGCGAATTTGTTGCCAAAGAAAAATACCAAGCGGTAAGCGCACTCCTTGCGAGAACTGTCACATTGCCATCTGTGCAAACTGTTATAAGACTATGATCCCTGTTTTAGGCCTTATCATGCATGCACGAAATGCGCGAACGCCTAGCTGGTTCGATCCAATCCGTGTTGCAATATCTCGACCGGGACACAGTGGACCGGCTCCAGAAAGCACTGAACCTACCTATTCTCAGCGAACCCTGTGATTCGGAATGTCGAAGCAGCGGAAAGGATGGCGCAGACAGAACAGATGACTCGCCTGCCTTTGATGACAATATAATGGAAGCAAGTCTGAGCGATGCCAGTGATGGACAGTATTAAATCGGATTCAACGTACAGCCGAGTCACCTTTGTGATAAACCTGATCCAGGCCAAAGACTCATGTACAAAGATATGTACATCAATGTTCTGCTTCCCAGTAATTTGTAACTAACCCCTATCCTAGGCCGGTCGCTATTGACAGCAGCCAGGTGAATGTTTATTAACACTGTATTACGAACGGTTAGTGCATTTTTTCAATGGGCATCACAATTCAGATGGTGAGGTCAATGGTCATCAGGGGGCGACAGTCTCTTTCTTCTGGCGTTTTCGCTCCGCCTCCTCTTCACGTTCCTTTTCGATGCACTGCACATACTTTTCGATCGCATCATGTTCTAGCAACTAGAACGAAGGGGAGAGAAAACATCACGTTTATTAATCGCTAATCAGACAAATGGAATTCCATAAACATCGGCCAACAATAGGCAGTCCCACTAACTCATCCATCGCAAATACCACCAAAAATTGCAGTGGTGTTTGTGATATCAAAAGAGAGCTTGGGGTGTGACGTTCATTAGCGATTGGATCGGTTTTTAACCCAAAAAGTGGCTCCAATTTCGTTCAATGAGAATGGACAAAATGTAGTCACACATTAGAGGCAATCAGTTCAACAGTAAATGTTACATTATCTCGTTGTTTAAAGTTGGGAAACGGAAGAGTTGCGCATAACTTGGATTCAAGAGCATGATGTGTGCATCATTAGAATAACAAACATCCGTTCGCCCGGCCAGGGACCACCACCCAAGAAAATGACGATTGCCGACAAGACTAGGGTTTTGATCAGAACCTCCATAGACCGCCCCTAAGTCATTAACTGACCATATTTTTGTTGTTCCCTCGTAGCTAATGGCTGAGCGAGGTAAGTTTTTTAAATATCTAAGCATAAGTAACGAACAATTAGCCTCTGTATCGAGAGGATTGCGATAATCTGCCTGATTGAGAGAAAATGTAGGCAACAGCGGTTAGATAAACCAAAGCGGCACACCGGAAGTTTTCAACATGGCACATCACTCAGTCGGAACTAGATTCGAAAGTAGTTCTTAAAGAAAGGAAAAAGACTGATGACATGATGCACAACAGAAACAACATTCTATCGGGCGCGCACACGATAAGGAGTAAGTCAAATCGCTTCCCTCTGAGAGGTTTGATAAACCAAGTGAATCCGACCACGCTAAACAGGTAAGTACACCTCCAGAAAATCAGCAGTAGTCTTTCGTATGAGTGCCGTACATGTCTATATGGACAGGGACGCTCGACAGAACGCGTATCATATTTCGCAATCTGAAAATATACGAACGAATGGACAAAGCAAAAATCGGCTACGGTGATAGAAAATTGCATCGAGTAATACGGGGGGTTGGATGCAGGCGCAACCATTTCCCTTGCCCGAATCGTTTGAAGTTCGTGTCCAGTAAGTAGTTAAGTCACAGTTAAGTAACAGAAAGCACATGGACCAGTGGGAAGCTTCTAGCCAGCCGATGTATGAGCACAACGCAGTGTGGTCCAGCAGGCAGTGATGATATGAGCAATGAAACAACAGTATCAAATGACTTATCATCTAAACTTGACACCGATTAACCGACCTTAAATAAACTTCAAGTACATCTGAGATCGTGGCACCAAAAGGATTAAATAAGACTAGAGTTGGTGCAAACGGCGGTCAACAACCTTGGCAAAACTTGGTACTCACCTGCCATTCAACAAAGCGATCGCCAGGGCTCTTCGGTGGTTTCCATCGCATGACTGCGAGTTCCATGTGCTTGGCACCCGATTGCATTACTTCCATAAGTGTTTTGACGGCCAATTTTACGGTCCCCTCTTCATCCGCCACGGCCTGCTCACTGTAATTCTTTTCCAAGAATTCTCGAGCAACTTTGGAACCCTTACCGATGGCATTAGCCTGAAGACGACCTATTACGCAAAACTTACATGACTTACTAGCCATTCAAAATGCGTCCCGGAAGGATCAGATTGATAAAGGTGTGGTGTGCCGTCTTGATTAAAGCCTACAATGAGGATGGCTACACCAAAAGGGCGTCGGCCGTTGCTTTGTGTGTACTTCTGCTTCACTTGGGCGGTGTATCTAGCAATATACTCCAAAGACACCGGGTCTTCAACGGTAAGTTTGTAACTTTTACACTCAACTCGCATGCGGTTGATAAGAACCCGGGCATCAGCTGTCAGTCCTGTAGAGACAAAATAAAAAAATTGAACTTGAGCGAGAGAGTTTCTGTTCAATACAAAGCAGTAAACCCGCAAAATATTGTTAAATCATCTTGTATCATCACCAATACAGAGAGCAATGACTTTACATGAAAACTTTGAAATTTGGACATAGCTATCGCCTCCAAGGTTTGGCTGTATGTCCCATACTTTCCCGTTTTCCGGTGATCGAAAGTGTAGCAGCTGGAACCAATGTGCATATGGTACATGGTTTATGGCGGATAAATTGAACTGAACGTCAACGTGTAGTCCACCCCTCCCCACTCTGCCTGAGTTCTACTCTTTTCGTGCCCAACTGCCTGAGGTGATAACTGGCTTGGTGTCAGACAGCACAGGCCTGTTGACAATGCCCATTGTTAACCGACATTATCACGGAGTGGCGGTTTGTGAGCCTCTATGACCCATTGAATTATACTGGGTTTTCACTTTGACATTCGCAAAGTTCCTTATACTAGGCTGGTCAGTGGATACACGTCTGAAGAACACAGCCTCCTCGTCCTCCAGATTGGGGGCTGGATCAGACAAGGCAACTTGTTCCTTAGGAAACTTGCACTACTGTAGTAGCGTGCCGACACCAACTCGCTGCCCTGAGGTCACGTTTTTGAGCCAAAGGATTGCTTAAGGACTCTAATCGTTCTCTTGTCTGACAGTATCCCAACCCGTGTACAACGAAATATTATGTTACACTGACCGTCGCGCAGTGTTATCAGTCGGGTCGCCTTGCATGAAACGGGTCGGTAGGCGATAAAATGCTACTGCTGACGGCTCGTTCCTTACACTCAAGCATCTCCTTTTCTACCGTACTCCACACATCTGAAGGTCACAACACTGGGACTGACCACTTTTTACGCCATGCATCAAGCTCAGCTGCAGCTGCTGGGTTTCCGACTTCACGAGTAACCCTAAGCACCCCGGAATGTTTTTAAATGCCAAAAGCCAGTCTAGTTAACTGCCTTCAATGGTCGCACACTGAAGCAAACGGGCTAACAAGTGAATTCCCATACGTCGGGTTACTTCCGTATTCATGTATACAGTCTGTCAGAAGCAAGGACCCACGACGTCAGTGATGTAATTGAACTGATTGCTCCCTGTTCTCTACTCGCTTCAGGCGATAAATACTGCTGACGGCTCGTTCCTTACACTCAAGCATCTCCTTTTCTACCGTACTCCACACATCTGAAGGTCACAACACTGGGACTGACCACTTTTTACGCCATGCATCAAGCTCAGCTGCAGCTGCTGGGTTTCCGACTTCACGAGTAACCCTAAGCACCCCGGAATGTTTTTAAATGCCAAAAGCCAGTCTAGTTAACTGCCTTCAATGGTCGCACACTGAAGCAAACGGGCTAACAAGTGAATTCCCATACGTCGGGTTACTTCCGTATTCATGTATACAGTCTGTCAGAAGCAAGGACCCACGACGTCAGTGATGTAATTGAACTGATTGCTCCCTGTTCTCTACTCGCTTCCGGCTGCGCACCTCTGGTGACGCGCAGGCTGCTCCTGCTCTATGTGCGATGGTATTGTATCAAGTATTGTATTAGGTATTGTATCAAGCCATTGAGTGGAAGCATCCCTACTTGACTGGATACTATCGGCGGTTCGTTTGGCAGTGTCTGAGAATGAAACTCGAGGAAATTATATAGATCGCTCTCCGTTTATCGTACCCGCTTACGGACTGTAGCTCTAAATCTGCTAGGGACAATGCTTTGACGCCATAGGTGTTCATTTACGACGAGTTACAAACTCAGATATCGTTGTGGTTGTTGGTAACATGAATGCAAAGTAAACTAAGTGCCGCTGAATAGCAACTAGGTGGTCGTATTGGGTTAGACGCGAGACGCGCAGACATGGAAGGGTGTTCATAACAGACGTGTCATTCAGCTGTAGCGCCCGTTTGGTGCCTAACTGCCCTGCCACCAGAAGGAAGCACGAGGGGTGGGATATTGCTAGGTTGTCCAAGCCTAGAAAGGAAAAGCCGAGAAGCACAGGTCGGGTTTGAACCACGGACCTTCGACTCTGTACGCGCCTTAACAACGGAACCAACACAGATGTGTGCCGAACACAGACTGTCCCTTTGTAGTATCAAATTCCGGAACAACGGAAATTGGTTGGTTACGTGGTGTCCACCACCAAGCGATCCCCAAATATAAACAGGCCATATTACTACCAGCTAGCAATGGAGAGGGTAGATCACTTGCTGGTGCACATTCTGGAATATGTGCGTGAACTCAGACGACCATCATCACTATCAGCGACAACAACACCAGTGTTTACACCGATGCTTCAGTGCCGTACGGCCATAAGTTTCGTCTAATTATATTAAAAGCCCTAGGGTGAACGGAAGAGAAAGAGATGGAGCGAGAGGGATGGTGCGAGATGGCCCAAGTGGTTAAAGCGCGAATTTACCAACCAGAAGGTCCGTGGTTCGAGTCTGAATTCTGCCTCTCGAATTACCCTGTCTAGGCTTGGGCAACCTTGCAGTATCCCAGCTCTCATGCAACTTCGGGTGCAATGGCAACTAATCACCAAAAGGGTGCTAAAGCCGAACGTTTCGGAAAGAGGGGACCTATTGCTGGCCTATGTCAAGCATTCTGAGGTCCCTACACCTCCAACCGCTCAGCCAATCTGAAAAGAAACTGACATCAAGGACGCCACTGACTCCTATAAGCCGCAATTTCTTGCAATGTTTCCAGCCAAGCGCAGTCGAAGTTACAGGGACCTCATCCCGGGAGGCGTACAACACCAACACCCGAACTCCCGTATTCTCTTTCATGCCCTTCTGCTAAGTCATATATTGTCCATCTTGCGAACAGCGCAATTCTGAAGGAAGCCTAGAGAACAACACTCGTCTCGGTAGATGGTGTTTCGGCATGCGTAGAACATCCTCGTGTCATCGTGGTCAATGGTGACAAATGTTCTCTGCGATTGAATTACCTGCTGCACAACCGATTACCCGTATTCTAATCACATTACTAATCCGTTGACGCAATCCAAAACCAGAGAAGCTTCTGAGACATCGGTGGTCGAAAACCTGAAGATACTCCACATCATCCATCCGCACAGGCCAAGTCTCGTAGCCATACAGCAACACAACCCTCAACTGTAGCCTGGTACATACGACCCTTAACGCCTTAAGGACGCCACAAGTGGCGCAAATTAGCAAATTAGGTTCGGATACATCGATGCCGTCACGAAGAGACTGGACCTTACGCCTTAAGGCACAAGTGGCGCAAATTAGCAAATTAGGTTCGGATACATCGATGCCGTCACGAAGAGACTGGACCTTACCGTGGTGTGACTGACGGCGCACCTCAGCGATCCATTGAGCTATACTGGAGAGTGTCCCGCGACACTCACAGAGTCTCTCACACCAGGTTGGTCAATGGTT